ATCAATGATGAGAGAGAATCATTGATCAGCTGCCTCCTGTACATTCCCCATTGGGAATCAAGCCCACAACCCGGGCATGTGCCCCTGACTGGGATTGAACCCAGGACCCCTCAGTCCTCAGGCCAACACTCTGTCCATTGAGCCAAACCAGCCAGGGCTCATCTCTCTCTTTTTTTAAAAAAAAATATATTCTTATTGATTTCAGAGAGGAAGAAAGAGGGACAGAGAGGTAGAAACATCAATGATGAGAGAGAATCATTATCAACTGCCTCCGGCACGCCCCACACTGGGGATCGAGCCTGCAACCCGGACATGTGTCCTGATTGGGAGTCGACCCATAACCTCCTGGTTCATAGGTCGACGCCCAATCACTGAGCCATGCTGGCTGGGCTCTCTTTAGTTTGTCACTGGTGGACCATTTGTTTTCCATCTTCTCAATTTTGTTGCTGTCTCATCTGTAGTTCCCTCTTGTTGTCTTTTTAGGGTTTGTACATTTTCAGTCCTTTTTGCCGTTTGGTGGGAGTGAAAGTAACACATACTTGACCTGCCCTGTTTGGTTAGACTGGGGGAAGCTGTTTAATCTTTGTGAACTTGCATTTATTGAACTATAAAACACCAACTTGCAGGTGATTTGAAGGTGCGATATGCCTACCAGATACAGTGCAACCTCAATTCTCGAACTAAATTTGTTCCGGAAGGCTATTCAAGAAGCAATTTGTTAAAAAAAAAAAAGAAGCAATTTGTTTGAAAACCAAATCATTTTTTCCCAATTAGAAATAATGCAAACGGAATAAATTCGTTCCAGATCCCCAAATAACCCCCTGTTTTAACCTTTCTTATATACGGTACATGTCTAATGTACTGTTTAATCTATAATCACACATTCTTTTCTTAAACTTACTGAACCACCCCTACTAGCCTTAACCAACTCACTTTCTTCGCTTTTCCCCATATTGCTACCTCCAAAATGCTGTCCCCAGCGAACTGCTTTTCATTTATCTAAATCAACAAGTTTTTCTACCTCTTCAGTCGCCTGTGATCATTGTTTCTTTTACACCCTTAGCAACATTAGCACTCTTTAAAATTATTTATTAAATTTATTGGAGTGACACTGGTGAGCATGAACATATACGTTTCAGGTGTAGGTTTCTATGTTACAAGATCTGTATGTTGCACCATGTGCCCACCACCCAAAGTCAAATCTTCTCTGTCACCTTATATTGGGACCCTCTTGTTTCCCCACCCCCTTCCCTCTGGCAACCACCACACTGCTGCTTGTGTTCAGTTTTATGTCCCACATACAAGTGAAATCATACGGTTCTTAGCTGTTTCTGACTGACTTCTTTCACTTAGCATAATGTTCTCAAGGTCCATCCATGTTGTTACAAATGGCAGTATTTCATCCTTCCTTATGGCTGAGTAGTATTCCAATATGTATATGTACGACATCGTCTTTATCCAGTCCTCTATCAAAGGTCACTTTGGTTGCTTCCATGTCTTGGTCACAGTGAATAATGCGACATTAGCACTCTTGATGGCCTCTTTATGTTTTAAAATTGTGCGAATCATCCATTTTGCCAACAAAAGCAACAAAACAAAACACAGACACACACACGAAAATAGTCACAGCTCTATTTCCTGAGATGTTAACAAGGTGAGGTTTAACTGTAAACTGACTCATACTGGGGCATTCTCTCCTTTGTTTGTGGCCTTTGTTTTGTCATGCTGGTGTATCAGCATGAAAGAGTTGTCGGGTCCACAACCCAGACATTTTATTTTTTCTGTGAAAAACTTGGTAGAGAACCGAAATGTTCGAGATGGGGGACATTGGAGACTGAGGTTTGACTGTATTTGGTAAACAGTGGCGACTAATGTTATTCCAGTCATAGCATTTGTTATTTGAGAAAACGTTACAATAGTAATAGGTAGGGAAGTGGACATGTTTCTTGTGTTGGTGAATGAAGGGGGTAAGAGAGATTTTTGGAAATGGGGGAAATAATTAGTTTGGTTTTAGTTATGTTGAATTTGAACTGCCAGCAGGGTACCAGATGAATCTATAATAATAAAAGGGTAATATGCTAATCAGACCAGACGTCTTCTGGATGTCATTCCAGATGTCCTTCCTGACAAAGCCAGGGCCGGAAGGAAGCCAGCCCGGGTCCCGGGTGCTGGAGAGCGGCCGGAGGAGAGAAGCCTGGGTCCCGGGTGCCAGAGGGAAGCCGGTGCTGGCAGCTGGGGGAAGGAAGACCTACTCTTGCATGAATTTTCGTGCATTGGGCCTCTAGTATATTATAAAAGGGGTTGGAATTCTTGTCTGGCCCCGATAGGGTGGGAGGGTGGAGGTGGACTTTAGTTTTGAAATCACTGGGTTTTATATCCCAGGAAGATACGGTTTGGGAAGAGGTAACAGCTTCAACCTTGCCATATACCAATGTTAAGAGCTTGTTAGAAAAGGGAGCCACTTAGGTTGCTGAAAGCTAAGGGGGTGGTGAAAGCCAGAGAAGGTGGAAACTGTTGTCAGGGGTAGTTTTATGGACCATTAAGTCGGAAGCATTTTCAAGGTCATTGCTAGGCTGTGGCTGAGTCCTGGCTAAGACTGGAAGGTCTTCCGTCTCCAGCTAGAGGTGTGCTACTTTGCAAGGTTCTTTCCCAATTGAGCCTCCATTGCCTTATTTGTTTAAAAAATGCTTATTTAGGGGCTTAGGATGTGGTTGTTGGCAATGAATTTTATGGTGGGGTCTTAAATTCAATGATACTAGTAAAAGTTAAATTAAAACAAGCCAAAAACAATAGATTTCTTCATTTTCACTAAACAGGCAAATTGAAATACATGGTACAAAAAAGGTAAGATTATTGTAAAATGAAATGGACAGAATAAATATTCGATTTAATTTTCCATCTATGATAATTTCACAATAAAAATCATAGTTTGCTTTGTAAAAAACAAACAAAAAATGACTGAGTACCCTTTCAAGATTTTATGTCATGACACATGGCTACATCCGAGAGAATTCACTACTAGGTGGGCCTCAGGTGGGGACACTGGTTAGCCATGAGGGTCGTTTCTAGAAGCATACACTGTGAAGCCCTAAGAGAAGCACTTTTCTCTCTATTCGCTTTAGGAGTGCATATGCCATAGGCCAGTGATGGCGAACCTATGTCACCTCTGACACGCGAACTCATTTTTTTGGTTGATTTTTCTTTGTTAAATGGCATTTAAATATATAAAATAAATATCAAAAATATAAGTCTTTGTTTACGATGGTTGCAAAGATCAAAAAATTTCTCTGTGTGACACGGCACCAGAGTTAAGTTAGGGTTTTGCAAAATGCTGATATGCCGAGCTCAAAAGGTTCACCATCACTGCCATAGGCCATTTATCTAAGGACTAAGGAAAAGCCTTTGGACTGGCCACTGGGAGTTGTCTGGGGACTTCTGCATATATAGGAGTCGGGGGATGAAGTTGGGAGCCTGTGTGTAATGAGCAGAGTGGAGGGTGATCAGGCATAGTCGTGAAATGGGTAGTGATGGCACAGTAAGGTTGGGCGTGGAAAGGTTTTTGTAAGCAAAGTCATCTGCATTACCTTGGTGGGGACAAAAAGGCATCATTGATGGAGAAGTAGGATGAAGTGAACTTTCTGGAAAGCTACCTGCAGCACTCTTACATTCTTCTCATTGTCTTTTTAAAAAAATATATTTTTATTGATTTCAGAGAGGAAGGGAGAGGGAAAGAGAGAGAGAAACATCAATGATGAGAGAGAATCACTGATCGGCTGCCTCCTGCACGCCCCGCACCAGGAATCGGGCCTACAACCTGGGCATGTGCCAATTGGGAATGGAATGGTGATCTCCTGGTTCATAGGTCAATGCTCAACCTCTGAGCCGCGCCTTCTCATTTTGACCTGGTGACAACTTCACTGCAGACTGGGGGCCTTTAATCTAGCAGAGTCCTATGTGCCAGACATAAAGCTGTCCTCTTGAAATATATCTGCTTGGGAAATTTCCACTTCCCTTACTTAATTTCTCTAACAGCCAAGAAGTTCCACTTTGCTGTGGCTTCATCCCTCGTGGGCAGTGTTTGTAGACGAACTCTTCCCTGAGTAGATTTGGAAGACCTCCAGCCCTGACACTTTTCTGCTTCAAATTAAAGACATCTGGTTTCTTATCTAATTTGAGAGGACTCACAACCAACATTTCCTTAAGCTACAGCAGATCATTGCAGATCATGCTTAATTTGTGTTTAGCTGCTCTAATGTATTGTTCTACCATGCATATTCAAATTCATTTCTTTTATAATGCATTCTTCCTGAAACAGCCAGTCTAATTCCCAGTACTGCATCTCTGTCTTTTGATCTGTATCTGTTTCTTTGCATTTTAATTCTGTCTCCCCAAATGAAACCTTGAACTGCTCCACTCTTTTCCTTATTGTCAAGCACTGTAAGTGCCTTTTCCTGTAAGTGTCTTAATACAGATAGATACATTTATACTTGTTTCTCTGAAGGTCTCATTAAGCACAACAAACATTATCTTCACTTCCAGGATTAGCAGTTTCCCGTAAGTCTGTTCACTGAACCATCACAGTTCATGGTCATAATATTAATAACATCTCACGAGTGAGGGAGAGAAGAATAGGAAATAGTGATGCCAAGTAAAGACGAAAGTGAGAGTGTCATGAGCTACACAAATGGGTCACACATGATATATGAATGATGCAGACACGTATCGATCATTTCGTGAGGTCCAGATTCCTTTAAGAATCTGATGAGCCCTAGCTGGTTTGGCTCAGTGGATAGAGCGTTGGCCTGTGGATTGAAGGGTCTCGGGTTCAATTCCAGTCAAGGGCACATGCCCGGGTTGTGGGCTCGAACTACAGTAGGGGGCATGCAGGAGCAGCCAATCAATGACTCTCATCATTGATGTTTCTCTCCCTCTCCCTTCTGAAATCAATAAAAATATATTTTAAAAAAGAATCTGATGAAACCTTTTTTGACTCTTTCCAGAGAAAAGCTCCAGCTCACATGCTTCCATCCCTGCACTCATCCTTATTTCACATGTGATTCTAGGTGCATTTCCCCCCTGCAGCTCCTTCATGGACTCCCAGGTAAGCACACACTATATGCACACTGTTGAATGCAGAACTCACGTAGCAATGTAAATGTAAACTAACCGAAATGAAATAAAATTAAGAATCCAAGCCCGGCTGCTGTGAGTCAGTGGTTGAGCATCGACCCATGAAGCAGGAGGTCACGGTTTGATTCCTGGTCAGGGCACATGCCTGGATTTTGGGTTCCATCCCCAGTGGGGGGCATGCAGGAGGCAGCCATTTGATGATTCTCTCTCATCACTGATGTCTCTCTCTCTCCCTCCCCCTTCCTCTCTGACATCAAGAAAAACATTAAAAAAAATTCCGTTCCTCATTTGGATCAGCCACATTTCAAGTGCTCAGTAGCCATGTACGGTTAGTAACTGCCGTATCGGACAGCGCAGGTATAGAATGTTCCCATCATTGCAGACAAAGTTCTGTCAGACATTGCTGCTCTACAGTTTCAGGATGGTTTAAGAAGATTTGCTTCCTTAACCAAATGTCTTCTTTCCTCTTCTCCTTCCCCACTCTCTCCACAATTGTTAATGATTAGTGTACTTACAGCCCTGCCTTGTTTTAAGCAAAACTGTAGGTATTTCCTAAAAGTTTAATTAGATGACTCATCTTCAGAAGAGAGATTGATTGAAATGAAGTCTTTAGACAGGTTGAGCTGCTCTAATGTGAAGTGTGGTTTGCCTTCAGTATTTTTCCTCTCTAGCTGTCTCTGTGAGGTAATACTCAGTGATAGACTAGGATCATTTAGTTCATCTGGCAAGTTGTGCCTCCAAATTGGTCTATTCCTATGGTATTTTGCCTAATTCTTCCTTTTTTTTTTTTTTTTCCTGGCCGACATCTTGCAGTAGAGATAGACTTAATTACTTCGTTGACTTGCTTCTTGCTTATATATTTCAGCAAGGCAACCAGGAAGACCAGAAACAAGAGTGGAATGGCTGACACACACCTATATTAAGATACTATAAGGAAATAAATACAGCTCCAGTAAAAATGGAAATAATTTAGAGATTATCCATGCCTTTATTTCCTTGGTTAGTTTCTTTGAGCCTCCTCAGTTTCTCAAGCTTTGAAATGAAATATGTGGTATGCCTCTAACTAGGACATTTAGGATGAATGAAAAGGTATGTGTTTTTTGGAAAAAACAGTTTCTAAATTTAAACCAAGAGTGATAAATTCAACTTAAGTGTTTGGACGTGAGAACTAGTCAAGGGGTCACAGAGTATGTGTTTCAAACTCTGAAATTTTGAGAACAGCAGTGTACAAACCCAGCCTACTCTCCCTTTGGCTGCTTGTTAGAGGAATGCTGCTTTTTTGCAACCTTGTACTTTTTGCAGCCAGCAATACTAATTTTAAAGTGGTTTTCTCATTAGACTTGCAAGTAAGAATCAATTTTTTTGTCCTTTCCCATGCATTTTAATAGACCTCAAAAGTAAAATGGGGGAGGAACTGACTGATTAGAGAAACAAAGAACTGTAAGTACAGAAAGTACAAATAGAAAAATAAGAATAGCCCTAGCCAGTTTGGGTCAGTGGATAGAGCGTCAGCCAGCGGACTGCAGGGTTCTGGGTTCAATTCCGGTCAAGGGCACATACCTCGGTTGCAGGCTCTGGCCCTGGTTGGGGCTTGTGTGGGAGGCAACCAATCGATAATGTCTCTCACAGTGATGTTTCTCTCTCTGTCTCTCTCCTCCCTTACACACACTCTCTCAAAATCAATGGAAAAATATCCTCTGGTGAGGATTAATAAAACAAAACAAAAGAAAATAAGGATAGAATAATAACAAGAATAAAGGAGGAAGTAATTTAGTTTGGTCTCAGTTTTAACACTTTGGTACCTCACCATATGTAAAGTTTTGTATATGATGTTGCAGAACAAAAAAAGGGCAAATGAATGGTGGCATTCGCTGTTGTGTGTCCCTCCCAGGGAGTTAGACAGACTCAGACACAACAGACTGATTAGAGCAGGGGTCCTCAAACTACGGCCTGCGGGCCACGTGCAAATACAAATATTGTATTTGTTCCCGTTTTGTTTCTTTACTTCAAAATAAGATATGTGCAGTGTGCATAGGAATTTGTTCATAGTTTTTTTTTTAAACTATAGTCCGGCCCTCCAACGGTCTGAGGGACAGTGAACTGGCCCCCTGTTTAAAAAGTTTGAGGACCCCTGGTTTAGAGCATAAGTGAGTGAGAGCTGCGATAGGGGTGGAAAGGATTAGAGGGAAGAGAAAGATTAGGCAGGGAAGGCATAGAAGGCTTGGATGAAGGCTCTGAACTAGGCCTTTGCATGACTGGGAGATTCATAGCTGTCCAGGTATAGGGAGGGGGCTCCCAGGCCAAGATAAGGGCCTGAGCAAAGGCTGGACAGTAAATAGCCGTGATAGGGTTGGGGTTGGTGGCTTGTAGGGTTATACTTGGGGGCAGGCTTGTAAGTGAGGTTGGATAGCTCTTTGAATGCCATGTTCAAAATTTTGTATAATAAAAATCATAAAGACATAAGTGGGTTTAGTTTGGAGACAATTAGATCCATGACCAATAAAAATGTCCACCTTTAATTAAACATTCCTGTTAAGAGATTTATATTCTCCATGCCTGGGTCTGAATCCCTCTTGGTCTGTTGTGGTATATGGTTTTGGAAACCAGCAAGGGGTTGGAGAAGGCCAGAGAAAAGGCTACTACTGATGAGTTATCCATAAGCAATTGATAGTGCAAGATAAAAGTACGCAGTGGAAGAGTTGGGAAAATAGTATTATAAAAAGGAAAGGGTTGACAAACAGTGCTGTCTTTTTATCTTTACTTTTGAGGTATCTGCTTCCCATTGAGATTAGTGTGTGCCGTATAGGTGTGTTGGTGCCAGCACATGGTATTGTAATCCTAAAATACTATCGATTGTGCTTAGAACTGGTTTATTTAAAAGGACACTGCTGCCCTGACCGGTTTGGCTCAGTGGATAGAGCGTCGGCCTGCGGACTCAAGGGTCCTGGGTTCGATTCCGGTCAGGGGCATGTAAGTTGGTTGCGGGCACATCCCCAGTGGGGGGCGTGCAGGAGGCAGCTGATGGATGTTTCTCTCTCATCTGTGTTTCTAACTATCCCTCTCCCTTCCTCTCTGTGAAAAATCAATAAAATGTATTTTAAAAAAAAGACACTGCTGCAGGGACAAGGAGATTATTTGTGGCTCTGTAAATCTCATTTTAGGGTCTTGTTGCTAATAAGACCTTAGGCTGTGTGTGTATATCTCTATCTATCTATATTCTTTATATAATTCACCATAAAAATTCATCCTTCTAATATGTACAGTACAATGGTTTTTAGTATAATCACAAAGTTGAGCAAGTATCACCACTCTCTAATTCCAGAATATCTTCACGCTCCCACAAAAGATACCTGTAGTCATTAGCAGTCACTCCTCATTTACCTCTCCCCTCATTCCCTGAAACCACAGATCTATTTTCTATCTATAGATTTGCCTGTTCTGAACATTTCATATCAGTGGAATCATATAATATGTAGCCTTTTGTGTCTGGCTTCTTTCACTTAGCATAATGTATTTGGGGTTTATCCATTCATCAGTTGATGAACATTTGGGTTGTTTCTGCTTTATGGCTATTATGAATAATGCTGCTATAAATGTACACGTACAAGTATTTATGTGGATGCATGTCTTAATTTCTCTTAGGTATATGCTTAAGAGAGGAATTGCTGGGTCGTATGGTAACTGTGTTTAACTTTTTTTGTTTGTTTGTTGCCGGGAGCCGGTCCATGCTTGCTGTTTCAAGGGACCTGGCATATATGGCATACTGTTCTTAATATGTTTGCTCACCTTCTTGGCACTATGTGTTTTAACCAAGGTCTCTGAGAAAGGTTGTTTCCCCAGGTAGGGATTTTCCCCTGAAGTTAGGGAGGGAATAAAACCTCTTAACTAGTGCCAGGTGGGTAATTAATCACTTTAACTACGAACAATCATGCTTAAGCTACATAATCTTTACTCCCTGGAATGGAGATAAGAAATGCCCTAACCTTTGTAATAGAGATTGATAGGATTGAATCAACTGGTATAAATACAGATGTAACAAGACAGCAAGAGTCAGAACTTAGAATACAGAGCTTAGAACACAGAACTAAGAAGACAGAACCTACAGACAGAAGAACTTCACTGGAGAGAACATGGCAAAAGATCCTGGACTGAACCTGACTACAGAAACTGGCAAAAGAACCTGACTAGAACCTGGTGACTGAACCTGGCTGGAGAACCTGGACAGAACCTGGCTGGAGAACCTAGTGAGGGAACTTGGCTACAGAACCTGGCTGGAGAACCTGGAGAACCTGGCTGGAGAACCTAGCAAGACAACATGGACACAGAACCTGGCTGGAGAATCTAGCAAGGGAACATGGCCACAGAACCTGGCTGGAGATCCTAACCAGAACTTCTCTGGAGATCTGAAGCAGAACCTCTCTGGAGATCCAGACCAGAACTTGGCTGGAGATCCTGGCTGGAGATCCTGGCTAGGCTGCTGATCAACTGAACGCTGCCTCCACGTCATTCCTTCTTCGCCGACTCCGTCCACACCTTTGGGGACCCCTGGACCCGCTGGGGCTGGACCCCGGCAGTTTGTTTTTGTTAATTCTCACCCGAGGATATTTTTCCATTAATTTTTAGGGAGAGTGGAAGAGAGAGGGAAAGACAGAGAAACATCTATGTGAGAGAAACACATTGACTGGTTGCCTCCTGCATGAGCCTGGACCAGGGCCCAGGCCAGGGAGGAGCCTGCAGCTAAGGTACGTGTCCTTGACCGTAATCGAACCCGGGACCCTTTGGTCTGCAGGCTGGCGCTCATCCACTGAGCCAGGCTCTTATTTATTATCATTGCACCAGTTTACATTCCCATCAGCAGTGTATGAGGGTTACAGTTTCTCCACAACCTCTTCAACACTTGTTATGGTCTTTTTTATTCTAGCTGCCCTAGTGGGTGTGAAGTTTTCATTTGCATTTCTCTACTGGCTATTGATGTTGACCATTTTCCCTTGTTTTTAAGTTGGGCTATTTTTTTTTTTATTGATGACTTGTAAGAGTTCTTTATATATTCTGGGTACAAGTCCCTTATCAGATATTTGTTTTCCAAGTATTTCCTCCCATTCTGTTTGTTGTCTTTTCACTTTCTTGATAGTGTACTTTTAAGCACAAAAGTTTTAATTTTGATGAAGTTTAGTTTATTTTTTGATTTGTTGCTTGTAATTTTGGTGTCATATTGAGTTATTTTCAATCTTAGAATTATAGAAAAATTTAGGAAGCAAATGTCCTTGAGGCATGGTGGATAGCAGTATTTAAGGAAAATTTAAAAGATGATTTCCATTTTACTTAATTGCAGCATTCAGTCAAGCTAGATTGTAAGTGAAAATGAAGCTTTTGATTCATTTTTATATACTTTTGATATTTAAAAAAAGTATGACTTTGCAGCCAAATCACAACTTTCAAGATTGAACTCAGTATTGAATATTCTAGGTTTTCTTGCAGACTTTAATATAAATCTGTAAGCTTTTTCATAGTGTGATCACCATGTGCCTAGTATTTGGGCTTATCACTCAGCAGTATACTTCTACAGTTCTATGTCTCCAGTTAGGCATTTAGGTCATTTCCAGAAATCCTTCCTTGGCATCTAAGGCCCTGCCTGCTCCAGGCCTCTCCCCCCAGTCCCATCCGCATAGAACTCGCCTCTCTCCAGACTCCAGGTGCTCAGGCCTACCTTGGACTCGCCCAGTACATGCCAGTCTACATTGGCAGGGCCTTGGCCTGGGCTGGTCCCTCTCCCTGATTCCTGGCTCCCTCCTCTCTTCTCAGTTTTCTCCTGCTGAGCTTAGCTTGTGGTTAAACCCACTTGCCCTGGGTCAAGTCCACCTGTAGTGGAGGCTGACCTTGGTGAGGCTGTGTTCTCAGAGCAGCGTGCGGCTGAAATAAACACTGAGAGATGGCTTAGGAACAGCCCACACTGGACACTGGCGTCTAGTCTGTCACTGACACTGTCGACACAGCCAGTTTTCCTCTGGCGCTGGGAGTTGCCACTTTTTCTTTAACGGAGTGGCAGGTGAGGTAGCTGGCTGTGTTACAGAGTCGCGGTGTATGAAATTGACGTCCCCCTGATGGCTAGAATCACACACAGCTCCAAGCTACTCCTGAGATGCTCACACAAGGGGCCCGGGTCTGCCTGAGGCAGCCGAAGGTTTACACATCGCATCTCTCACCAGGGCAGATGCTGCACTGTTTGAGTGGTTCCTTGGTTTTTGGTTGAGTGCAAATAGTTGTATTCTACACCAAGTCCAGATTCTCATTTGTAGGACTTTCCACAGTTGGATTGGTGTGGATTGTCATCTTCCCCAACCTCCAGCTCCATGAGTTGGGTGTCACATCCTCAGCATCAGGCACACAGTAGGCACTCACTAAGTGCTTGTTGAAAAACTGCTTTCCCACCCACTTCACCAAATGCTAGGCTTCTGGGGTGGTCCTTTAGAGTTCTGCAAACATTGGCTTGACATTTCATGTAAAACATGTTTAAGCTACTGAAACTAATAAAACTCTGGCACACTCAGATGTACTTTATACTACACTAGAGGCCCAGTGCACAAATTCGTGCACGGGTGGGGTCCAGCCCTTCCGCCCCGAAGGGGGGCGCTATCAGAGGTGTGACTGGCTGGGGGGAGGGGCCGCAGGCAGTTGGCTGGCTGGCCCCCGTCACCTGGTTGAACTCTTGCTCTTGGTAGAGGGGACAATTTGCATATTAGCCTTTTATTATATAGGAAGGCAATGGCTTGACTACTGCTAGTTCTGTCAAGTTAACGGTTTTGAGCAGATCTTGAAATAAAGTGAGCAGTTGAAAGACTCTTACCATTGCAACTGCTGTTTTGCATTATACCCACCACAGCAACAGGAAAACCCTCAGACATCAATGCAAGACAGCTGAGCCTCATGGGTTAAGTGCTGGGGTCTAGAGCAGCCTGCCACATTCTTGCCTCATTTATACCTTTTACTGGCGGTGTGACCTTGACCAAGGTATGTAAGCTCTCTGAGTCAGTGTCATTGCAGTCTGGGGATAGAGACTTGTGAGGAGTGAATGCCGTGAAGCAGAATAAGGGCTAACAGTGTTGGCATTGTTGTTGCTATTACTCTGTACAGTCATACCCCACTTTATTGCACTTTGAAGATATTGCAGTTTTTTTGTAAATTGAAGGTTTGTGGCAACCATTAGCAAAAAGATTATGACTCATGGAAGGCTCACAAAATAGTTAACAATAAAGTATTTTTAACTTAAGGTATGTACGTTGTTTTTTTATTTTATTTTTTTAAAATTTTTTTTATTGATTTCAGAGAGGGAGAGGGAGAGAGATAGAAACATCAGTGATGAGAAGGAATCGTTGATAAGCTGCCTCCTGCAGGCCCCCTATGAGGGATCAAGCCTGCAACCTGGGCATGTGCCCTTGACTGGAATCGAACCTGGGACCCTTCAGTCTTCAGGCTGATGCTCTATCCACTGAGCCAAACCAGCTAGGGCTGTACATTTTTTTTTAGACATAATGCTATTGCATACTTAATAGGCTATATAGTATAGTGTAAACATCGCTTATATGCACTGGGAAAACAAAAGAATTCATGTGGCTTGATCTGTTGTGGTATTTGCTTTATTGCTGTGGTCTGGATCTGAACCCCCAATATCTCTGAGGTATGCCTGTATTATACTATTGTATCCTTAACTCCGAAATGTCAAGATTTTGAAGAGTCACTTTTTTCATCGATTGAATTTATAAATTAAGGACTATTATATGTAAGTCCCACAAAAATGCCCTTCGCTTTTAAGGAGGACAGAGGGCTTGAAACCATTGGTTAGAGAAGGAGTGGGCAAACTTTTTGACTCGAGGGCCACAATGGGTTCTTAAACTGGACCGGAGGGAGGGCCGGAACAAAAGCATGGATGGAGTGTTTGTGTGAACTAATATAAATTCAAAGTAAACATCATTACATAAAAGGGTACGGTTTTTTTTTTTTTAGTTTTATTCATTTCAAATGGGGCGGATCCGTAGTTTGCCCACGGCTGGGTTAGAGAATGGCTAGTACTTTAGCACAGCTCCGCATTCGTCACTGGGAAACCTTCACGTTGAATTTGATCTTCAGGGCTAGGATCCTTTGGCTTCCTATTGTCTGCCTGTATAGTTCTCTCACTTTTCTGCCTATAACTCTTCCTGAAATTCCACTGAAGAAATGTCCATAACAGAAGCCTTTCTGTGATACTGCCAGTAAAGACTTCTTATATTCATTCCACAGAAACTGCCTGCATTCCTATGAGGAGCCTGGTGCAGTGGTGAATCGCTTTCCCCCTGTTGTCCACGTCTAAGTGAATTTTCCCAAGAGTCTGAGAGGTAGGTATTGTCACCATTGTCTGGTGAGCTTCAGGATGTCAAGTAGCTTTCCAGTTGGTCTTCGTTGGCCTTTGACACCAGGAACCAATTCTCCTTCCAAGTTTTCACCTTGGCCTTGGCCGCCCAGAAAGAAGCTTCACAACTCTTTGCTGCCTTAAACTGACTTTTCCTGTGTCCCATTGATGTTCCTTCCTCACGTGGCCCTTTTTTCTTTGTTTATATTAATTTTATTTTATTCTCTGGAATATGATTATTCTAAGCTATGCAAAATTTGAGCAACTTGAAGAATGAATGATATATTTTTACATTCATTTCAATTTAACACAATTTTATAGCCGAGTGTGAAGCTTAGAGAAGCAGGGTTGGCAGGTGAAAGACTTCTACAATGATTAATGTGTAGTATTTGATTCTAGGACTTTTTTTAGGCTGAGGAAGGTCACGGGCAGCTATCAGGTGTGATTTTCCTTTTCTTTTTCTTTTTTTTTTTTTTTAATATATTTTATTGATTTTTTACAGAGAGGAAGGGAGAGAGATAGAGAGTTAGAAACATCGATGGGAGAGAAACATCGATCAGCTGCCTCCTGCACATCTCCCACTGGGGATGTGCCCGCAACCCAGGTACATGCCCTTGACCGGAATCGAACCTGGGACCTTTCAGTCCGCAGGCCGACGCTCTATCCACTGAGCCAAACCGGTTTCGGCTGATTTTCCTTTTCAATTTAAGAATTTAGTGGCTACTAGAAGTCAGCTATTTCTTTCACATTTTAATTCTTGTGTTTACTCTTAAAATTATGGAAAAAAACCTGTACATTGCTAAGCTGAGCTTTCTATTTTTTCTTTGCAGATGATGGTGATGCTTGAACTGAACAACTAAGGTGAGATTTATGACCTAGATAGTACGCTTTTCTTATGCAGACCTCCTTATAGAATTTAGCTGAATTGCTAAAATTTTATTTTAACTTTGATGAAGATTATTGCCTTTGGGCAATCATTCCAAACTGTGGATTATGAAAGACTTGATGTTACATTTTAAGGTAAGTTCTGAAAATAACATGGCAGGATACTGTATTTATTCAGCTTGAACTGAAGAAGTTTCAAAGGATTTTACTGTTTTTAGAAAAGGAAAAGGAAAAATTTTTAATATCTGTAAGCTGATTATGGTTCTGTTAATGTATAGATTCCATGAAGTTACGTTTTGTTAGATGTCATTGGGAAATGAGATGCTTTTTTTTTTTTTTAAATATATTTTATTGATTTTTTACAGAGAGGAAGGGAGAGAGATAGAGAGTTAGAAACATCGATGAGAGAGAAACATCGATCAGCTGCCTCCTGCACATCCCCCACTGGGGAAGTGCCTGCAACCCAGGTACATGCCCTTGACCGGAATCGAACCCGGGACCCTTCAGTCCGCAGGCTGACACTCTATCCACTGAGCCAAATCGGTTTTGGCGGAAATGAGATGCTTTATACAATTACCTGTATCACCATGTATGTTTATATACAACGCTACAGTTAGAATCAGAGAGATGTGTGTGTATTAGTTGCTTTAGCAAATGCCAGCATACTCCCAAATTGGATATCTGGGAGGCCCCAAATTACGGATGGGAAATGTAAACATTGTGCCCTATTGCCTGGTGTGTGGGTCTAGCATTCCCCACATTTGTTTCATCAGAATAACGGCACAAACTAGGCAATCTCACATTATTACGAAAAAAGAAACGAACTGTCAACGTGTCCTGATAAAATTATAAACGACAAATTCCAAGGAACTTCTAAGACTTAATTTGGTAGATGTATACAACCAGTCATCTGAGAGAGGTTGTTAGGTTGCATAATCTGGGTTATAATTTGATGTAGAGATTCTAACCATCAGTGCTGTACAATAAAACTTTGTGTCTGGTAAGGCAGTTAGAGACCTAGTAAAATACTGGGGTAAATGATAGACTACAATCACGCCCATCCGTTCCACCCTCCTAACACAACAGGGAACTTCCGTGTTCACATATCTTAAACATTGTGTGAAAGGAACAACCTGGGGACGGGAGCTGCTGGGGGAAGTATTCAGTGTTGTTGACCGTGCCAAGTGGTTCTGAGGGCCCAGAGGTTAGTTAGCAGTGGTAGGTGAAGCAGGGTGGGAGCACCATCAGAAGGAACAGCGTGTGCCAAGGCGAAGGCAAGGGAGAGTGGGCTGGGCAAGTGGAATTGAATTTCAGTTCCATCTGACTGCTTTTCTGAAGGACTGAGCCGAGAATGGGGAGCAGGGCCAACTGTCTTGCCTTAGAAGTTGGACTCAGACTTGAATCTGTGGAGAACCGCTGGAGAATGTTAAGGAGGGGTATTCGGCAGATACTCGCCCTAAGTCAGAATATTTGGTGTGCTTTTTCGGTTTTGTTTCTCCTGTTTCTGGAAGTTGTTTAAGCAAGACTGCAAAGATTTAAACAAAGGAACCGATTTAGCACATCTTTACATCTGCCAGGAAATTAAGAGGCTTGAGAATGTTTGAACTTCCTCTTTAACATTAATTTAGTCTGGGCGTTGGGCAGGGTGATCCATTGGCAGTCAGAAGTCTCCAAGAGGGTCCGACTGGTGTGGCTCAGTGGTTGAATGTTGACCTGTGAACCAGGAGGCCACAGTTCAATTCCTGGTTGGGGCACATACCCGAGTTGCAGCCTCGATCCCAAGTGTGGGGCGTGCAGGAGGCAGCTGATCAATGAGTCACTCTCATCATTGATGTTTCTATCTCTCTCTCCCTCTCCCTTCCTCTCTGAAATCAATAAAAAATAAAAAAAGTCTCCAAGCGGTCTGTACCTTGATTGCCTCAGACTTTTGTTGGCCAATTTAAATTTTATTAATTATAGCAGTAATTACTATAGGAGTAATTTAAAAGAGCCAGTTGGAGTTAGGGACAAGTTGCTACAGCTTTTACCGGAAGAGTATATAGCTGGAAATACAGAATTCTTGCACGTTATAGGAAGTGTTCAGTTACATTACCCTGGGTCACATTTGCATATAAGTAGGAGTTAGCCAGGTAACGTTTACTGCAGTGATTTTGCAAATTCATCCTAGTAATTTCACAATTATTGTTCATGTTTTAATTATCTTCCCATTGAGGGATTCCCAATATCTCCTCTCACGTTACATTTCCATTTTTATTCTAGAGCTGTGCTGTCCAGTATAGCTGTTGGCTCTCTAAATATGGCTATTCAAATTAGCTCAAATTAAATCCAATTTAAAATTCAGTTCCTCACTCCCCCCAACAATATGCCAAGTGCTCAGTAGCCTAACTGTGGTGACTGGCTGCCATATGGGACGCCGCAGATGGAAGACATCTCCACCATTGCGGAAGGTTCTCTTAGTGCCACTCTAAAGGTTGTCTTCTTTTACAAATTTTAATATACTAACGGCCACTTAATAAAACCTTACAGATTAAGTGATATAGTGTGATTCAAAATAAACTGGGGAGAAGGGAGAATGGGGAGTTACGGAGGAAATAGGATTTGCCATCAGTTGGTAATTGGTGAAGCTAGGTTTAGGGCCCATGGGGTATCATTATATTATTCTCATTTAGAAATTTTGTGTATGTTTGAAATTTTCCATAATAAAGAATTAAAACAGAAGCTTAAATAGGAACAGCACTTAGAAGCAGCCATCTATAAATGAGCGTCTGAAGTCCCACCTGTAGTGTAGGAAGGTTTTTAATCCTGCCCCAGGGTTTCCCCTAAGCGGGTACACATAGCACCTTGTTTTTATTTAAGGGTTACTTCATTCCCCCTTGAAACACACAAGTAGCAGCACTGGCTCACGCTACTTGTGGGCAGAATGAGTCTGTGGGTAGAATGTGCTAGATTACATTATGTTTAAAATCTGTTGCTGCTGACGTTAATTTTGGCAGACTCAACATAGTGTTCCCAATGAAGAGAATAGAGTTCATTTACTCAGTGGTTGGCTTATTTTTGTTCACGGCCAAATCAGTCAGCTTCTGTGTCTGGTTTCCTGGTTACCAGCTCCTATGGTGACAGCACTGGAAGAAGCGGGGGTCATGGAGGAAACCCCTGGCAGGAGAGCAAAGCCGTGGGTCAACAGTGTCTGTCACAGTGTCACCAAGGGCTGTTTGAGGTTGTCACCCAGACTTGCCTACTCCAGTCTCCTACTACATCTCTAACAAATGGTGGCTGGGCTTATTGTGAGTAGAGAGAAACGGTTGAGAGCAAGGTGTTTGGGGTCAGACTTGGCTTGGAGTGCCAGCTTCAGCCAGCTGAGACCCAAGGAAGGGCAAGACTGGGCCCTCGCCAGCTGCCGCAGGGAGTAATGGCAGGCTAGGCCAGGCGCATGGTTGAGTGCTCCATAAATGACAGCTCTCGCTGTTAGGTATTCTCTGTGCAGAAAGGAATTGGGCCTCTGTGTTTATTCCCCTTAAATGCTGATATTTCTAGAATCGTGTGGAGCAGTGTACAGGTCTAAAGGAATGTAATGGTACCTTTTTATTTTACAGGGTTCTGAAGTCAGAGATCTTGAGATTAATAATGGCAGGAAAATCCTCACTTTTTAAAGTAATTCTCCTTGGAGATGGTGGAGTTGGAAAGAGTTCTCTAATGAACAGATATGTGACTAATAAGTTTGACACCCAGCTCTTCCATACAATAGGTGTGGAATTTTTAAATAAAGAGTTGGAGGTAGATGGACACTTTGTGACCATGCAGATTTGGGACACGGCCGGTCAGGAGAGATTCCGAAGCCTGAGGACGCCCTTTTACAGAGGTTCTGACTGTTGCCTGCTCACTTTTAGTGTCGATGATTCTCAAAGCTTCCAGAACTTGAGTAACTGGAAGAAAGAATTCATATATTACGCAGATGTAAAAGAGCCCGAAAGCTTTCCTTTTGTCATTTTGGGCAACAAGATTGACATAAACGAACGGCAGGTGTCTGCAGAAGAAGCCGAAGCCTGGTGCCGGGACAACGGCGACTACCCTTACTTCGAAACCAGTGCAAAAGATGCCACGAACGTGGCAGCGGCCTTTGAGGAAGCGGTGCGAAGAGTGCTTGCCACTGAGGATAGGTCGGATCACTTGATTCAGACAGACACCGTCAGTCTGCACCGGAAGCCCAAGCCCACCTCCTCTTGCTGTTGATCCTGATGAGGTTTAACCAACTCACACACACATACGAATAAACATGGGGAGAGGAGAATTAGCATCTGCAGCAATAGATCATATACTCATAAAATTAAACTAACCATATTGCTGCTCCATACGTGGGTGGGAGAAGGGATACATTCACTCACAGAAGAATCTTATTTACTCAATAATGGCATCTTACATTTATAAGTTGTAACGGTTGTCTAATGTTTAATTTAAATATGTAAGTTACAGAGCTAATAAATGAGATGACCAAGACTTTGACTTTGTGATTAAAACAAAACACTTGAATATTCTAGAAATTGTTCTTTTCCTGGGAAAATGGAGAACGACTTTTTATATATGTATATTTTTATGTAATTAGCATCTATTCCTGGTTCAGAGGGAAATTTCCTACAGCAATAATGTTAGATATTAAAGATTAAAATTGAGTGCATCTGTGCTGTAGTGATTTGATTATTTCTACATTCTCTTTAAAATTATTGAAGTGTTCACATTTTCATTCTACCTAATGGAATTGATCTCTTGATCTCCCCAGTAATCGCTCATCTGTGTGCCACACGTTCGCTACCCCCTCAACCCCAGAAGCCAACTTTATCATTAGTCTTAGAGGAAATGTGAAGGATTGAATTTTGTGTGAGGGTAAGAGAAGACATCTTTATTTGGTCGTGTATTTATTTAGTGCCTTCTCCTTCACTGAACATTGTATAGTGATTTGCTCTCGATTTCTCATCTTGCTGCAATGACCAGACTTACTGATAAAACGAATTGTGATCTTTTGTGGGTAAAGTTCATAAGTTGCACCTTCATGCTGATTCCATTCTCCAGAGGCAAACCAACTCCTAGACCCCGTGTCAGTGAAGACGGCACCCTGGCTGTAGAGCAGTGGGTTATCAAAGGACATGCTTGGGGCAGGGGTACATTTTGAGAAATGAAATAGATAAATTTCTTTCCCTGGCTCCACTCATTGGAAACCACTGAAAAAGAGTATCATTACAGTAAGCTAAGCTTTTGAAAATCTTATTTCCTAACATAACAATTTGGCTGTAAGGAAAATGTTATGACATTTTTAATTTGGGGAAGTTAAATCTCTTCATATTCTCAGGTTGGAGAGAGCTCTAGTTTTTATTATTTGCAATCACCTACCCCCCGCCCCCGGGAAAAAAACTAATCCTCCATCCAAAAAAACAATTTTTTTTTCTTGAGGGGACTTGCTTTTCTTTTTTTTGCTTTTCTTTTTAATATAATTTTATTGATTTCAGAGAGGAAGTGTGAGAGAGAAACATCAATGATGAGAGAGAATCATTGATCAGCTGCCTCCTGCACACCCCACACTGGGGATCGACCCTGCAACCTGGGCATGTGCCCTGACCAGGAATCGAGCCGTGACCTCCTGGTTCATAGGTTGATGCTCCACCACTGAGCCATGCCAGCTGGGCTTGCTTTTTTTTTTTTTAAGTCAAAAGTGTACCCATTGTTTTGTGACTTGCCCTTTTTCTCTTAATATGTCTGGACATACTTACATTACAGTAGACCCCTCTCATTTATTTGCTGTATGGATATCTAACAACTATTCAAACCCTTCTTCCTTGGTGAATATGGAGCAGTAGTGCATGAAAGTGCTAGTTTCCACACATCGGTCAATTTCTCTGCATACATGAAAAGTTGGGGCAACAGTGAAGCATTCTAGGAGTCACATGGTTCAAATTCTAGGGACAAGGGACATGTCTCTACCTTTGCCACCCAGTTCCTGTCCCTGGCGGCAGCTACATGTGTTTTTGGGTGTCCATCTAGATCAGAGATGGGGAACGTTTTTCTGCCAAGGTCCATTTGAATATTGATAACATTTGTGGGCCATACACAATTATCAACTTAAAAATTAGCCTGCTATATTTGGTCAAACATTTAATGAACTCGCCTCTAATGCCTTGGCAGGGCCAGACCAAATGATTTCGCTACGGCCCATGGGCCAGAGTTCCCTACCCCTGATCTAGGTATTTAGTACACAAGGAAAGTCTATTGTATTAGGTGTGCTAGGCTGTCATAATAAAATGCAGATTGTGTGGCTTGACAATGGGAATTTTCCTCACAATGCTGAAGGCTAGAAGTCCCAGGTCATGGTGTTGGTAGGTTTAGTTTCTCCTGAGGTCTCTCCCCATGGCTTGCGGATGACCTTTCCCGTGTTGTCACCTCCACCCCCCCCCATCTATATCAAAATTTCCTGTTATAAGGATACCAGATTGGATTAGGCCCACCCAAACAGGCTCATTTTAACTTAAATCACCTCTTTGAAGGCCCCATCTCCAAATATAGCCACATTCTGAGGGTGTGCGTGGGGGCTAGAACTTATGAATTTGGGGGGTAGGGGTAACGTATAGGTTTTTACAAAATGTATAATTTTGGTACTTGAATAGATTTAACTAATACATAAGTGTATTTTTAAACTTTAAAGCATCTTTTCAAGTACTGTATTTTCAAATAAATATTTAAGGATTAGATTAGTTGGCATTCTAGAGGCCTAGTGTTGAGCAGCTAAAATGATCAAAGGAAAAGGTCTTCATGTGTGTAGACAGGCTGACAGTAATTCTTCACACCATGACTTAAAGGGAATCTGGGGAAACAAGGGTTAATATACCAAACATGGTACAGAAATGTGATTAAGAACAAAACCTGACTAAATAGCTTTGTCCTTCAATGAAGCAACAACTGATGGAAAAGCTCTTGAACCAGAAGCAAAAGGTAGCTGAAAATCTGATTCTTTTGAAGAAAAAAGATGCTTTAAGTGGCTGGTCTTACCTATCTATACAAAGATGAAAAGTATGGGAAAAACAAGAGTTGGGGATCAAAGCAGGTGGTGCAGGAGTGGTGGCAATAGCTGCGGAGCCCCCAGAGCAAGCAGAACTGTGGTTTGGGGAGGAGGGGCTTGTTAAAGCGCTGTGCTTGCCACGGGGCGTTTGGGCCACCTGAGACAGTGCGTGCTTCCACGCTGTCTGTGAATGTACAGACCAAGTTCAGTGTTAAAGACCAACTATGACCTCAGAGAATGGACAAATGTACTTTTGACCAATGAAAACAATTTCAGGAGGCTGTGTGGAAGATGGAAAGGTACTTCATCAATGGGTTACTTCCAGTTTTGTCACCTCCTTCACCCTTGTGAAAAATTCCCTAGTTGAAGTTCAAACATGTCTTAAAGAAAACCTTGCTTTACGTTTCTATAAAAACTTGTGTAAGCTTTCACTGTCCCATGACACTGACACCAGTTCTCACACAATACCAGTGGCTTGTGGGGCAGTGCAGTGTTAAGTAGAAAAATGGACCTGTGGGTTCTGAGAGGTCGTCACCCTGGCCCGTTAACCGGGAGGTACTGTTGTGACTGCAGAAAAAAAAACATGGGTATATCGGGCAGAGCACCGATCGATGGTCTCTGCATTCGTGGACAGCGGGGCAACAGTGCTGCCTTCTAGGAAACAAAGGACAAAACCAGATTGGTGCGTTTTATTTGGATCTTTGGAAGTGCTAATGATTACAAATTTAATACCTATGCTCAGTGAAGCCTGATGCCTGTGGGAAAGCATAAGCCCTGGCAAGTGCCCAGGGTGCTACTGATGTCCCTCCACTGCTTTTGTATTCCGGAACCTTCAGTAACGCCACCTACTACCAGATCTATGCTTTACCAACTCACCAGTCTTGGTTCTGTCCCATCAGCTGTCCAATCCCCATGCCTAGTGCTGCTTTTCCCCCCACACCTTTGTGCCCAGCATGCTTTCCCCGTGCAGCCCACCCACCAGCTCCTACGCTCATCACTGGACTTGCCTTGGAGCTCCTTCAAAGATGCAGGCATACATGAAATTTGGTACTTAATTCCAGTAACGTACTCACGCAGGGCTCTTGTTACATGTTCCCATCTCGCCCTCACAAGCCTAGAGAAAAGGGTCGCTGTTTGCAGGGCACTGCCGTGTGTGGCCGGGCCAGGACCCATCGATCTCTACCCTAGAACTCCCTGCTGCTGCTCCTGGCCACTTGCGTCGCAGCCCTCTGTGCTACATGGTCATTGAGGGCAGAGCAAACTACATAAAACAGTATGTGCTGCCCTGACCGGTTCGGCTCAGTGGATAGAGCACTGGCCTGCAGACTGAAGGGTCCCAGGTTTGATTCTGGTCAAGGGCATGTACCTTGGTTGCGGGCATATCCCCAGTGGGGGGTGTGCAGGAGGCAGCTGATCGATGTTTCTCTCATCGATGTTTCTGGCTCTCTATCCCTCTCCCTTCCTCTCTGTAGAAAATCAATAAAATATATTAAACAAAATTAAAACAAACAAACAAAAACCAATACGTGTTTGGGTCTCTCCAATGAGCATGGCTGAAATGACTCCTAGATTTCTAGCTGAATATCTTTTTCTGCTCCCAAAGCTCTGGCACCTAATTTGAGATGATCCAGGTTCTGTAAATTAGGTTAAAATATATACTAGTTTACAGACTTTCGAAATAAAACTAAAATGGTATTGGTGGCAGGGTGAGCAGCACGTAAAAAATTTGATATTAAATTCCCACAATCTTGGACAAACATCTTTATTTAGTAAATCAAATAAATAGGGTAAAAAAATCATAGTAGCAACTTCACACAAAGATACAAGAACAAACTTAGAATTACTTGCTCAAGTTATTCAGAATGGAAGAAAATTCTTCAAGTGCTCACAAGTAGCACGGAAAATATGTGCTTATATTACTTGCTTTTCGATCGACATCTACTCGTTTACAGTAAGGTCCCACACTCCTTACAGTAAAAAAGCCCCCTCCCGCCCCCTCTGGTGCACAGCCTAAAAGGCTAGGAGTGCGAATGTTAATGTAATACAAGCTTTTCTGTCTTTACAACTTGATGGAAATCGTCTTACAGCTTTTTACTAATACAGATTATCAACAGGTTCATTAAATCTTTAGCATACTAAGGGAAAGGAAAGAAAACACAACCCTGCACTTTGGGCCCAGTCACCCATTTTACAGACATGGATCCCGGATTTCAGAATGACAGCAGGATCACTGTCCCATCCCGAACAGCGGCAGGTACATGGCACTGGGCACTGCACACGCTGTTGACTTCAGCTTCTTGGGTAGGGCTATGCACAGTGCCTATACATTTTTATATCATCTCTAGATGTATGGGTAAGCCCATGTATGTCCTACCAACTTTATTCCTCACTGCAGATGCTTTAGTTTTACATCTACCAAATCTTGACAATGACATTTGGTTCTGGATTGTTACATCAAGATCAAGCTATATGAATGAGGAAAGCCAAAAGCTTATTCTCAGATTTTCAAAGATGTTTCAAGGATATTGATAAAGAAATCCTTATAAATAACTATTCAGAAGCAAATATTAATCTACTAGAGGCCCAGTGCACGGGATTTGTGCACTGGTGAGGGATCTGGCCTGCGGGGATCAGCCCACCGTGGGAGTGCACTGACTGCCAGGGGGCAGTTCCTCTGTTGAGTGTCTGCCCCCTGGTGGTCAATACGTGTCATAGCGACTGGTTGACTGGTTGTTCTGCCGTTCGGTCGCTGGCCTTTTATTATATAGGATTGCTAATTCTAAGAAACTGTACTATTTTTATCTATAAGGAATTTCACTAGGCTTAAATAAATTAACACTACAAGTAAAACTTTCCCAGGCTATTTAATCAAGTAACTTACAATGTACACATTCCTGAGTATATTCCATTGTAGCGACATTGTTTATTTCCGAATTTTTCTGCGCTTAGCTTAAGAGGTGTTTCTTTCCAAGAAACTGAACTTTTCTGTCAAATGCACTGGATCGAATAGGAGAATTTGGTTCATAAAATGGATTCATTGCAAACTAGGAAAGAAGAAAGTATTAGTGAGTTTGTCAGAGTAAAAAGACTGACAAATCATGAGTCTCTAAATTACTTTGAGCTTTAAATGAAAAGAAATCATTCAACACATTCAAAACAAGTCAGAAGATCACATTTTTAAGTTTCCATAGAAATGTTCTATTGTTAAATAGTAACTTCCCCTTAAGGAAATTTCTTTCTCAGTGTTATAGTTTTGAGCAGTACCTGTGGTGAAACTGATGGTGGTATGATAAGTGTTGCCTATGTAAGCAAAATTAACTCAGGATTCATTCACCCTGTGTGTGAATTACTAATCTTATGTTCATTGTAAACATGTGAATTAATCTGTAAGACCTACATAAAATACAAATGAAAAATGTGCCATATCATGGGTCTCTAAGTTAAGAAAAAGTTACACCACACTGATTAAAAACTACTCTTGTGTGGTAATTTTTTAAGAATCAGGTTTTTAATACTCTCCTTTAACACAAGGCTAAGTGACTAGTTTCTCAGATAATGCAACAAATGTACCATAACAGTCAGAGAAAATTATTAACAACAAATGGAATCACTAATGAGGAAAGGAGATAGCAATTTTTATACCTTAATCACTTTGTCTACCTTTATAAAAGGACTAGATATTCTTACTTGCTAGTGCTGACTAGGAATATTGTTAGCTGTAGTGATATGCAAAAATCTTGTGCAAATACAGAATAAATTATTAAGAAATACTGTTGTTAGCACTGCAGTTTAACCACTGATGTCCTATTATTTTATTTTTTTTCCAATTAAATACAAGAAATGCGGGTGGCACCAATCTCCTTGGGTGACTATTTGATAATATATGAATCACTTCCTGCTGGTTTATGATCGGTATTCATTGCACTGTAACTTATTTGTAAAGTAGATGGAAAGCATTTTAGATTGAAATTATAAAGCAATTTCTCTTATGGAGAATACTTCCTTCCCTCTCTTTAAGGTTCCCTAGTAAAATCAACTATATGCACCAAAAGAGGGAGAATGAAGTAGATTTTAAAATAACCACAAGCCCTGGCCGGTGTTTCTCAGTGGTTAGAGCAGGGGTGGGCAAACTTTTTGACTCGAGGGCCACAATGGGTTCTTAAACTGGACCGGAGGGCCGGAACAAAAGCATGGATGGAGTGTTTGTGTGAACTAATATAAATTCAAAGTAAACATCATTACATAAAAGGGTACGGTCTTTTTTTTTTTTTTTAGTTTTATTCATTTCAAATAGGCCGGATCCGGCCTGCGGGCCGTAGTTTGCCCACGGCTGGGTTAGAGCATCAGCCTGTGGACTGAAAAGGGTCATGGGTTCAATTCCGGTCAAGGGCATGTGACTGGGTTGCAGGCTCTATTCCCAGCCCCCGTTGGGGCGTGTGTGGGAGGCAACCAATTGATGTGTCTGTCTGTACTTCCCCTCCTACTCGCTCTAAAAAAAATCAATGGGAAAAATATCCTTGGCTGAGGATTAACAACAACAAAATAACTATGAGTTCTTTCCCTAAATACATGTTAATCTGGTGAAAACTTGCCTGATGAGGGAGCTGCCAGGGATGGTCTGACTGAGGGAGAGCTGCTCTGAGATGAAAACTACTACAAGGGACTCACTTTGACAGGCCAGTTCCCTGCCGTTTGAATCCCTTTTATCAGTTTTAAAAAGTTAAAGAACATACATACCTTTATGTATAGTTCATAGACATCAGTAAAGAAGTTCTTTATTCCATCTTCTTGTCTTACATCATGAAGCATAATAAATCTCATATGTGAAATAATTAAGGTGTAATCTTAGAAATGTAAAATTAAAAGCAATAGTTCAAAGTTAGGTTAGTTTTTACCTTAAAGAGAACATAATCTTTAAAGTTAAAAAAAAGTAAAACCACCCTTGATAGGGTTCAGATAAACCTTAGTTTTATATACCAGACTTGGTTTTAAAATGATTTAAACAAAATGTATTTTTTCCCTGAAAAAAATAAAAGTAGCTACATAAATGGCAATTTTCACCTGACACTTTAAAGTTCATCAACTTATCCTGGCATCTGTGTCCCATGTTCTAGTTGGTTACCCCAACCTTTAGTTAGGTATCTTTATGAAGAAGGTAAGGATATGACCTGCAGTAACAAATGCTGAAACAAACCACTCATTGAACTTGTCCACAGTTTTCAAGTACATGTTGTTTGACAGCCACATATTCTCATCCACCAGGTCAAGGGCAGCATGAGCTATGAACTGGTTCAGATGACGATGGTCGTCCTAGATGACAGTGTGAGCAGCACCAGGTTAACATTTCCATACAGCATCAAGACAGCCAACATTTCAATCTGTAAATCCTATACAGTTCTTCTTGCGGGGGGACACTTTCTTTTTCTAAAAAAGTATATTTTTATTGATTTCAGAGAGGAAGGGAGCGAGAGATAGAAACATCAATGATGAGAGAGAATCATTGATCGGCTGCCTCCTGCATGCCCCACACTGGAGGTCAAGCCTGCAACCTGGGCATGTGCTCTGACCAGAATCAAACCGTGACTTCCTGGTTCATAGGTTGACGCTCAACCACTGAGCCATGCCAGCTGGGCTACTTTTAAATTTGGTATCTAAAATTCAATAAATAGAAATAGCCGATTATAATATACTAATTATAATATTAATAAAATGTGTTCAAGAAACTAAAAAAAATTTAATTTTGCAAGAAGGAAGCTACCAGTTTCCGTAACCCTTTAAGCATGTGGGGGAAAAAATACTCTGTTGGAAAACAAATAGATCCTCCTTTCAAGAAGCCTGTATTCTTTTAGAGCCGAGGTTCTCAACCTGTGGGTCGCGACCCTTTGGCGGTCAAATGACCTTTTCACAGGGGTCGCCTAAGACCATCCTGCATATCAGATATTTACATTACGATTCATAACAGTAGCAACATTAGAGTTATGAAGTAGCAACGAAAATAATTTTTTAAAAATATATTTTATTGATTTTTTACAGAGAGGAAGGGAGACGGATAGAGAGTTAGAAACATCGATGAGAGAGAAACATCGACCAGCTGCCTCCTGCACACCTCCCCACTGGGGACGCGCCCGCAACTAAGGTACATACGCCTGACCGGAATCGAACCCGGGACCCTTGAGTCCACAGTCTGATGCTCTATCCACTGAGCCAAACCGGTCAGGGCGCAACGAAAATAATTTTATGGTTGGGTCACAACATGAGGAACTGTATTTAAAGGGTCAGAAGGTTGAGAACCACTGTTTTAGAGGAAGACAGGAAAAAATACCTAAAAGGTTGTGGATAAAGGACAGCAACATAGGTAAGCTGGGGCTAAGGACAGAGAGGTGACATTGGCACAGGCCTCAAGGTGGGGTGAGGGGGAGGCTTCCTGTGTAGTGATACCTGGTGAGCAGTGAACAGGCGAGGAGGTGGCAGTCCTAACATGGTGGCATGACTGTCAGGTGTAAGGAGTTTACAAGGCAGGGGGACCTGGGAGTGGCAGGAGGCCATGCTTAACCCTTGTGAACACTCAGCCCCCTGTGTGATAGCAGGAGACAGTCCTGTCAGAGCTGGGAGTGTCCTTTTCACGGGCTGACAGAGCTGAACTAGAGAAGGTGGGAATGTCCCACCATATTGTGGAGGGGGCGTTCACCACCTGAAATGGTCTTACTCCTGTGGAATTCTTACTTTCCATATGCATTTTCAGAGAACACCTCTGTTATGGGTTGAATTGTACCCCCACCCATTCCTGTGTTGCAGTCCCCACCCCCAGGACCTTAGAATGCAGCCTTATTTGGAAAGAGGGTTGTTGCAGATGTAACTACAGTGGGGCCTTGCCTTACGAGTTTAATTCGTTCCGAGACCGAGCTCGTTAAGGAGCTTGTTAACTCAAATTACTCTATCAACTCAATGCAAAAAATCCGCCGAGAGAGGCTCGTATCTCAAAAAACTCGTTAGTCGGGACACTCGTAAGTCAAGGCCCCACTGTAGTTAGCATGAGCTCATGCTAGAGAAGAGTGGGCTCCAGTGTGACTGGTGTATTTATAAAAAAGGGGACCCTTGGACACAGACACACCCAGGGAGAACGCCATGTGGAGACTGGAGTTGTGCTGCCACCAGGTAAGGAACTACCAGGAACTAGGAGAGAGGCCGGAACAGATCCTTTGCGAGCACCTTCCCTGCCGGGGCCTTCTGACCTCCAGAACTGAGACAGAACATTCCCATTGTGCTAAGCCACCCAGGTTTTGTGCTCTGTGGCGGCAGCCCTGGGAAACTGTACAGATCCTTTGCTGAGGAGGCTGTTCCCACAACTGGGCTGGAGGAAGGCTGCCAGTTACCCTGGAATCCCTTGCACAGCTAAAGCATGTTTACTTCACGCCCGTTGCCAAGATGCAGCTAATTTAATCCTTAGAGAAGGGATGTATTTCGTGTCTGGCTTATAGCAGCATTTTCCATTACTTTACAGGGATGATCAATCTTGAGAGATTAGGAGAAAACTATAGAAATGCTTTCAGAAGGTAAGTGGTAGCATCTTGCGATGAAGTTCTTTTATATGCACTGCTTTATGTACCACCAGGCCCCGGAGTGCACAGGAACTATAATTGAGTAGTGGTGTAACACAAAGCAATCACTGCTACAGGGATGCCTCCAACCAAAGTTTTAATGAGCTGCGTGCTCCTAGGGATGTGGGAAAAGAATGTAGCACCAACACCTGGTAGGATAATTACATTTCTATCATATTTTACTGGCAAGATCTGAATAGTTGACAAGCATCCTACACTAGACTGGACATTATGCATTACAATGAATTTGAAAAATCAACTCCTGTCTTAAAGAACATTAAAGCTTATTTTTGGAGGTCGTGAGACACAGAACAACTTATAGGCAATTAGGAACATGGACTGGTACAGAAAGATGGAAGGGACCCAGCTATTCTCATCTCAAGGCTCTATGGCTCTGTTTATTCTGAATGGAGACGTTCGCCAACCCAGTGTGTTTTTCTACAGCCATTCTTGATAAGGAAGCTGGGTGTGTCACTGGGGAGGAGAGCATATGGGCACCAGCCAGTAGATAAGGTAGGTCACTGGGAACTGCCATCGTCTTGGGCAGCAGGAAGACATGTAAGTAAGGGTCCCTTTTAACCCTCCCAGGTGTAAATGGATCTACTATGTATGTCCTGATGAAAAATGTGACTTGCTGGGGCACAACGGGCTTTCATGGCATTTCAAGGCAGCAACGACTGTTCTTTCAGACCCACTATGGGTGGACCATGTTTCTATGCACTTAAGGAGTAGCTTTTCCTAGTTGGGTGGCACAGTGGACTGAAGACCAGGAAAAGAGGCCCAGAGCTTCCTCCCAGTACATGCTAAGTGTGTGCTGATAAAGGATGAAGCAATTTATTGAACCTTCCCTGACTGGCTTCTACCAGCCCATGGGACTCCAGAGCAAACCTCGCTTAATTGTTATCTCATCTGTTCAGGTCTCCAGTTCGAAAAGCACATTACACCATAATTATTACAACAGCATGACAGTTCTCATGGGGTTTGTTAAGGTTCCATACGCACTTTGGATTCTGCTTTTCCAGGTGGCAGAAACTCCATTTCAAAAACTGGATTGTCATGGTGGCCAACAATCACGAAGTAAAAGCTTCCAGACATTGTCTCCAATATATGGCTCCTAATTAAAAGAAAATGCATTTAGTACTCAATACTGAAAACCAAAAATGGTTAGCTGGGAGTGTACAGTCCCGGGGAAAGTACAACCGAGGTGTGTCAGGGCCCAGGATGCATCATGCCTCACAGGGACTCCTGCTGATTCACTCAGAACATGCAACAAAAGCCAAAGAAGTCCGAAATATATTTCCTAAGGAACGCAATACTTTGTAAAGGAAATCAGGCTAGAGCTGGCGCATGTAACCCAGGAATTGGAAGGCCAGGTCTGGAAAAAAGGGCAGGCAGGAGACTCTCTTGGCATGGTGAAGTAAGTAGGATTTAAAATATTTGGGGCAGGGGTTGTTACACTACAGCCTACAGGCCAAATCTGGCCTTATCTGTCTTACTATAGTCAAAGGCTGCTTTTGCCCTACAGTGGCAGAGGTGAGCAGTTGTGACAGGGATCGCCTGGTGCTTTACAGAAAAAAAATGGTCCCTGTTTTAGGGGAAAATGAGAAAAGGGCCCAAATAGTAAAACTGCATAACCAAGACAAGCAGGAATGATACAAAAGCTGTGCAAAATAGGAGAATTGGCCAGAATTCTCAAGAGAAAGTGAGGGGAAGAGGGATGGGAGCTTGAAATGTTAACCAAGTCAGCAATGACATCATTCATTTTTGCTGGAAGAGGTTTCCTAGCTGGAGTTTGCCAAGGGAAGGGCTTACTTTCTTCACAAACATTTAAGCAGCAGAGAGAAAAGATAAGGCAGACACCTCCCCCAATGCACATTTAAGCAGCAGCAGAAGACAATTAATGTATAAAGGAAGATAACCACCCGCAAAATACTTCTCTCCTGTATGGAAATCCATGACTGGGAGAGAAGCATGGTGCTAAGTACCGAGTGAGGACAAACAAAAAGGAAGCTGAAGGAAATACCGCATAAAGGTTGTATCACAAACTACACAGCTGGGCAGGACTTGAGCTGCCAAGAATTTGATTTCACAAACAGCTGGAGAAGGGAAGTAACTATTCAATTATGACAAGGAAAAACTGAAGAGTGGGTGAAGTGGAAGGAAAAGAAACCATACAACCACATAGTCTCAGGAAGGGAATATCTACAATCATTTAATGTTAGAGGGCTTACTATGCCTAGGTAATGGGCAAAAGGGAGACACTCTCTAGAACTCTGTGCTGTCCTATATATGGAACTTTCTGCGAGAATGGAAATGCTCTGTACCTGTGCTGTGCGATCTAGTAGCCACTGCAGACTAAGGAGCATTTGAAATGTGGTTCATGTCTGCAGAACTGAATTTGAAATTTTATTTAATTTTAATGGATTAAATAGCCACACGGGGTTCATGGCTACTGTATTGGACAGTGTAGCTCTAGAGCAGTGGTTCTCAACCTTCCTAATACCGCGACCCTTTAATACAGTTCCTCATGTTGTGGTGACCCCCAATTTCATTGTTTCACATTGAACATCATGAAAGCATAGTGATTCATCACAAAAACAATATGTAATTATATATGTGTTTTCCGATGGTCTTAGGCGACCCCTGTGAAAGGGTCGTTCGACCCCCAAAGTGGTCGCGACCCACAGGTTGAGAACCACTGCTCTAGACCAATGACTGCAAACTTTTTTTTTTTTTTTTAAAATTCCAGGATCTCTTCCACCTTCCCTCCACCCATGAAGTATTACTTAAACTCCAATATGTAACACAAACAATACAAATAAAGCACCACAACAGCTGTGTTTGTGTAAGTTGTGTGTGCGCCTACTCAACGTTCCCATCACCTGAAGGAGGGACCCTTCAAGCATCTGCAAGGGAGACTAGGCCTCGAGGAGTGGAGAAGGGCGATACACAGAACTTGGCAATGGATTAAATGGGAGGACTGAAGATGTTTCCAAATGTTTGGCTGAGGTGATCAAGCAGAATATCAGGATGCCATGCTATTCACTGAGAAAACAAATAAGGGAAGGAAGAGGGATGAAAACATGTCAGTTTCAAACATGGTGTGGTAGCCAGAATAGCCTTCCTGACCACCTGCCCCCCCCCCCAAATGTCCACATCCTAATCTTGGGAACCTGTGAATGAATGTTAATTTACCAGGTAAAGGGGAATTAAGGCTACAAATGGAACTAAGGTTGCTCATCAGCTGACCTTAGGAGATGATCCTGGGCCACCCAGGTGGGCCCAGTGCAAGCACAAGGGGCTTTAAAAGTGGAGGGAGGGACGAGAGGCAGTCAGGTGACTACAGGTCCTGGCTTTAACGATGGAGGAAGAGGTCACCAGTCACAGAATACCGGTGGCATCCAGAAGCTGGAAAGGACAAAGGAACAGAGTCTCCCCAAGAACAGAGTCTCCCCAGGAGCCTCCAGAAGGGAACGCAGCCTGATAACCTGGATTGCAGCCCAGTGAGATCCACGTCGGACTTCTATGCTAAGAACTGTAATGTAATGCATTTGTGTTGTTTCAAGCCACTAAATTTGTGGCAATTTGTTAGGGCAGCAATAGGAAACTAACACACATGTCAGAGCTGGAAAAAAAACCAAACCTCCCTTGCAGGTACGAGAAAAAAGGAAATATTCAAGGAAGCATCAGCCAAAAGGTAAAAGTGCATTCTGTAAAGAGAGCCGGAACAGAGGGAGTTCATTTACCATGGCACATGAGTAGCAAAGCATTGTTGGAAAGGTGGGTCTAGGGCAGCCGTGGGCAAACTACGGCCCGTGGGCCGGATCCGGCCCGTTTGAAATGAATAAAACTATTAAAAAAAGAGACTGTACCCTTTTATGTAATGATGTTTACTTTGAATTTATATTAGTTCACACAAACACTCCATCCATGCTTTTGTTCCGGCCCTCCGGTCCAGTTTAAGAACCCATTGTGGCCCTCGAGTCAAAAAGTTTGCCCACCCCTGGTCTAGGGCAACTGTGCGTCAAGATGGACCTACCTTAGGGCAATATGGGGAATGAACATGGAAAAGAACAGGGACTGTGGTTTTTTCCAGCCTGAATCCCTGACACCGAGCTTAGTATATAATAAGTGCTCAATGTTTGCAGAATGGAGCTGCAGGGGGGGGGGGAGGGAGGGCTGTAGTTTACAGTGTGAGATGACCCTAAGAATAGGGGAGAGGGAATGCTGGAGTGAGAGGCAGGGTGGGATTAACCAGCCCAGCTGAGGCCTGTGGGGTGGGGAGGAAGGGGAGTACTCAGAGGCCTGATAGCTGGAGTCTGTTCAAGCTATTAACAGCACCTTTCTGAGAAGCTGCTGAGGTTCCTTACATAAAGCAATCCTCCATTACATGGGGCAGGGCTAGTTGCCTGAGGGTAGGGGAGGCAGGACTGCACCTGTGGTGAGGACAGCAGCAGCCTCTGGTTGCTAGGGTGACTTGAGCTGCTTTAGGGAGAGAGACAACTAAATAAATCAAGGTGGTGCTATAAGGAGCTCAGGGTTACCTTGAACTCAAAGAGGCTGTGCACATAATGTAGGAAGTAGGGCACTAACTAGTAATGAACACAGAAATGGGACCTGGGACCTTCAGAAACCTGTGAGGCTACCATCAGAAAGGCAAAAGCCCAAATGAGCTGAAATGTGTGGACTAAGTTAAGAAAAAGAAAGCCTTTTTAGGCTACAGTCAGGAAAAAGCAGGGTTTCTCGAAAGGTCAACTGCTTCAAGCACCTGGTATACAAAGTATAGAGGATGCAGATCTGCTGAACTTCAATTTCCTTAAAAAGAGTGATTTTCCAACAGCAAATGTGGAAGAATCAAGGTTAGGCAGGCTATGAACCTCAAGATGGGAATATTAAAAAAATCCAGACATTTCAATAAATACAGGTATTCAGTTCTCAGCAAACTACATATCTTGGATTAACAAATGTGATTATACATCTAGTGATCAGTGATATTTGAGAAGTCGCAGGAACAGAAAAGAGCCATATCATCAGATACAGGTAAGTGTTATTCCTATTTTCAAACACAAAAAGGCTTATCTCCTAGTCTATAATTGGGTACTTTCAGAGAAATGAAAAGACCAATAGAAATATGTATTAAATGGCTGCCTTTGGTTAGACACCATACTGAGAACTTTTATTATACATTATTCAATGTGGATCCCTACACAAAAAGAGTAGGTTGTTATTCATTCACGTAACCCCTGGTTATACTGAGAACAAGTCATGCCAAACTTAAATTTTATGTTTTGGAAGGGAAATTAGGAGGCAGTAAATCATTTTTGGAAATAGTTTGGTGTACACCTAGAAACAACTAGACCTTTAGCTTGCCTGATAACACAGTCTGGTATCCCCAGAGCTATAACAGTGCTGGGGCCCAGAAAACACTCCTTATAACAATAATTGTGAGATGAAGCCAACTTATCACATTCAAAGATATGCTAAGGGCAACACATTTATTAGAAGGCAAAAGGCAAGATTCAAAAATATCTCCACAGCTAAGAGAACTAGGTGTGAAATTAACAAAGTAGAATTTAATAGGATGCAAAATAAAGTCCGGTACTTGGGCTTGGAAAAAATGAGCTGCACAACAGGGTGAGGAAACCTAGCTTAAGAGCAGTGCATCTACAAGCACCCATTTTCATTTATTGCAAACTGAGTAAGAGGCAGCAGTCTGAAACAGTGGTCACAAAAAGCTAATGCAATACCAAGCTGCATTAAGAGACGACAATGTCCTCTTCACAAATAATATCATCTCTGGGGAAGTAGTCAGTTCTGGGAATTGCATTTTAAATGAATCAATAACTGAACTGTGTGTGGGGGGAGGAGGGTGGGATCTAGGCTAGGGAATGCTCTGGACAAAAGCTACTGAAAAAAAACTGAGGATGTTTAAACTGAGGAAGGGAAAATACTTTTTTTGGGGGGGGGTGAGGGTGGGGAGCAGTGTCCAGCACAATGTCATCTGTAGAGAAGATACACTGTCTAATGGAAAAGGGAGCTGACTAGGAATGGCAAATGGGTTTCCTTTCCTGAGCCAGTTCGAATCACTGGTAGTGACTGCCAGGAACTGGTGCTGAGATCCTGAGACTGAAGTGTGGTCAGCAGGAAAGATCGCTGTGATTAATTATCCACTGTCATGGGTGATGGTGGGGGAAGGGCAGTTGGCCTAAGCGAGTGCCAAGCAGTGACTCTTTTTGCCACCATCCAAAGCATACCCATTAAAGCCCAGATGAAGTCATACTTTTCCCGCAGAGATGTCTCTGCGGGCTTCCATCTTCCACTCTCTTTTTTTTCTAAACTACACTCGAGTTTACAGTAATCTCAGCCCATCTTTATCTTTCTCACAGCATGCAAACACAAACTTTAGCTCACTGATTTTCAACCAGTGACTTTTGCCTCCCCGAGGACATCTGGCAATGCCTGAGACATTCACGATGGCCAGAACTGGTGCGGAGGCGCTGCATTTAGTGGGCAGAGAGGCCAGGGACAGGGCTAACCACCCCGCGGTGCACAAGACAGCGCTCCCTACAAAGAATTTTCGGGCCCCAAAGGGCAACAGTGCCGCGGTTACGAAGCCCTGGGTTACTGTGACCCAGTAAAAGGCAAAAGATGCAAAACCCCAAGCTGGCGGAGCTCGCCGGATGCAATGCCTGGGCTGTGATGGGACCAGCCACCGGGGGCTGGCCGGGTTGGGCCCGGCGCCCCAGGCCGCAACTGGATGGAGTGACAGGGTTAACACTCAGATCACGCGGCCCCGGATGTCCCCCAAAGCGCCCGCCTCCTCCCCCAATCCTCGCTCTATCCCCTACCTGCGCCCCTAGACGCAGACTTCGTAAGAAAGTATCCACGGAGCTTCCGCCGCGGCGACTAGCGCTCGGAACTTCAGTAAGGAAGCCGGGCAAGCTCTCGCGAGACTCGGAGGCTACGCTCTCGCGATAAGTGGGCGGGGCTTCGGCAGCTAGTAACGCGGGCTCGCTGGCGCAGGCGCAGTAACGCTCCGGACTTAGGTCGCTCAACCTGGCGGGTCTCGGGGAGAGGGCGGGACCGGCTGAGAGCGGCGCGGAACCACGTGGTGCCTCGGCGTCCCGGGACCCGGGTTTCCCAGACTCCTCGCCTGATGTTTCTACCTCCCAGCCTCCGGTGAGAGTGGCGATCGGGCGGTACACGACCCCACCCACCCATAGCAACCCGAGGGGAGGAAGTGCGTTTATGCGGCAGGGTTCTTAGTTCGGGGTGGGCGGGAGAGCGTTGAGCGTTTCCCCGGCACCGCGGTTGGGCTCTGGAGGTAGGGAGTTCCCTCGTTGCCACCTTGAGGCGGGGCGGGCGGGACTGGCTCGGTGGGAAGCTGATGCCGGCGGAGATTAAGCATCTTGTTGGCTTTCGTTAAAGCGCTGACCGCGTGCGCGTGTGGGGTGCAGCGTCTTGTTGGTTTTCGTGAAAGCGCCGACCGGGTGCGCACTTGAGGGGACGAAGCTGCTTGTTTGTTTTCATTCAAGCGCTAACCGGGTGCGCATTTGAGGGGATGAAGCTTATTTTCGTTAAAGCGCCAACCGGGTGCGCATGAGGGGACGAAGCTTCGTGTTTGTTTCCTTCAAGCGCCTACCGGGTGCGCGTGAGGGGACGAAACTTCGTGTTTGTTTCGTTAAAGCGCCGACCGGGTGCGCGTGAGGGGACGAAACTTCGTGTTTGTTCCGTTAAAGCGCCGACCGGGTGCGCACGTGAGGGGACGAGGCTTCGTGTTCGTTCCGTTAAAGCCGTTAAAGCGCCAACACGGCGCGCGTGAGGAGAGGGAGCTTC